ACGGTCGCGGTCCAGCTGCCGGCAGAACTTCTTCGACGCTGTTGCGGAGGCCGCCGTCGCTCTCCCACCGCGCCCCCTTCTCGGCTGTTTCTGCAAACAGTACAGTATGCATAATATGTTTGTTGATAGTTTGTTGCGTTCGGTCCAAGTTGTCACACAAAGAGAGGGAGCGAGAGAGAGAGGGAGAGGCAACGGAAACACGGCAGGAATGCTTATTCTCGAGACAAACGGCACTGGATATAAATCGGGACGTTCGGTCCTACTTGACAGACAGAGAGACAGTGGAAACACGTCAGGAATGTTTACTATCAAGACAAAGGATACTCGATACAAGGAAAATTTGCTTACCAACTGTTCATGAAACGTACGCCGGAGGAACCAAACATAACCGCCTGTTGTATGTATGGCGCTCCCCCCCCCCACCCCCCCTCCGCGCCACCACTACTGGACCGCTGACGGCCTGGAAGCGCCCGCAACCGTTGGCCTTACTTGAGACTTCTAACTTCTAAGGGAGCAGTCAATCTCCACTTCGGTAGATGTCAATGCAGTTCTTGCTTTGAACATGCCGTATGTATCGTATGTGTAGGCATACGTCGACGCAAAACTTCATTGCTTTCGGAGCGCGAGGCACTGTGCATTTCCTCTGCACGAACAAATGGTACCAGGTGCCATACTCCCTCTCTCGCAACTCCCTCCAAGGGTACTGGTGAACAGCAACAGTCCCCCGAGTCTAGTCGACAGGACAGCGAGCGAGCCCGGCACCGATTGTCGTATCGGAGGGCTACGGTAACAGTAACGACCACAGCTCGCACGGAAACTTGTCACAAACAGCGACAACAGCACAACCGACAGCACCAGCAACGGCAGCCACAGTAGATGCGCATAGGCCCAATACACGAAACAAAATCCGCCACGACTATACATGAACTACGAAGGCGATCAACTTACCCATCCAAGAAGAGGACCGACAGCCTTCCAGACAGGGTTGTCCGTGCCGTACGCTTCCTCCAAGCGATCACGATCCGGCACACCAAACAGCACCAAGTACCTGAAGCAATGAATCAACGAATCAACGGATCGATTGAACGACTTCAGTGAGACGTCAATCACGACACAGCACTTCTGGATGCGTACGAAGAAGACAAGACAAAAAAGAGGAAAAAGCGGAAACACTTGTAGGAGGAGAGGAGCGATACTAACACATGCGGGGGGACACGTTTGCTACAAGCTCCAGCCGCTACCGCTAGCAACCTGCTGCCTCCGCGGGCAACTCGCAGTAATGCGGTACCATGTACCACTACTATAGTACCCACCTGTAGAAGGTATGCAGCAAGGTTGGGTCTTGTGTGTCATCGTCATCACCGACGTCATCATCCTCCTCTTCGTCGCTCCCATCGTTGATAATGATGTCACACACATCCACGTACTGCGGGTTCTGATCCCACGTCTGCACGAGGGCGTCGTAGAGCTCATCGGGGCATTCCACCTGCGGACAGACGGACAGACAGATAACAATAAGGGGACGGTGAGGAGGCGATGGATTAAACAAAGCCAAACGCATTCTAGATCTCGTAGCTGCGGTGGAGCGGATTGGGCTGATTGAGGCACTTACACACTCGAGGGAATCAGACAAAACACGCAAGGTATTGAAAAAAAAATGGCCCTTGTACCAACTTCAGAGAGACACAAGACGTGACGACAATTTGACAGTGGTTACAGTACCAAGGTTTCGAGACGATTTTCGATTGATTAACCATGAACGAACACGGGGTGTGTGAAACCACACTGCAGCACTACACTAAGCTAGTGTGTGGCACAAAACGGCGCCATGTAAGCTTATTACACGAAATACATACCTGCGCGTTCAAGTTACTAAAACCTTGTTTGGTGTGGTACAGCCGTATGGGAGACATGTGACTCCAATTTTACTACGCGTGCCGCTCGCTGGTGAACCATAGAATACTTCTTTCTATTCATCCACGCCCAACATAGAAGATGGACCATATCTATCTAGTTTTGATCGTGCATACAATTGCAACTCTTGATATATGTTGCTTCAGAGGTACTTGGCGTCATGTACCCCATTTTGTAAGAGATGCAAAGCAAAGGTGCGCTAAGAGCATTCTTGGGGTCGCCATAGAGCATGGATGGAGATCGCTCGAGAGCCAACTACGCACCACTTTTGCGAAAGCACTTCATGAACCAAAGCAAAAGTAGCAGCAACCGCAGTCACAACACCGAGTGGGCGAAAGAGATAACTCTACTGCAGTAGTGCCACCAAGTGGAAGTACTTCCGTGCACACCTGCCATACTTATCTCTTACGTAACAGTTACAGATGCATTGTCTCACTCCACACCCTTCATACACACTATCCCCGAAATTTAGACACTGCCTCCCGTTTTACGACGATTTCAGTCTATGCAATCAATCCTGGTATCCTGGTAGTGGTCACCTCTTCCATGATCTCTTCGTAAGGCGCCTCTCCCGTGAAGAGGTGGAACGCCGCCAGGGCCAGCGCGAAGGTGTCGCTAGCATACCCCTGGATGCACCGCACGAAAAACATTACAGTCCCGACCGCAGACCAATCAAGGTTAGGGAGAAGGCAGAATGACGTCACAAGAATACCCTTGAGGTTTCCGACAAGCCCTTTGTGTCGGAAAAAAGTCAACGAAAGAGAGAGAGAGATTGACATGCACTTCGTGGACACAACCCGAGTTGTCTAGTTGAGCCTGTTGCCTACGAAGGAATCGTCACTGCTGTGGGTGACTCGAGAAATAGTAGGCACGCTAGTGGGCGAGCTACACTTTCAACCGAACCAATCGCATATTTTTCCATGTCTCTTGTATGACCGGGGTTTTCCACTGATGGAGGTAGGGAAGAACATGATTCCCTTCTTGTTGCAAGAAACAAAGCACATCAGCTTCACACAGCTGTATCGCCTTTGGTATGTTGCATGTACTGAGTGCAAAATTACGGTGTTTGCAAAATGCAAATGCCTACATGTATTATCTAGCAGCAACCAAATGCCAAACGTACTTCATCCTATTTCGGGGCGGTAAGACAGCAGGTTTCACGAAACGCAATCAACTCAACATTCAAACACAACAACGTTATTCATGTTCCCATCAAATAATCACCTGCACGGCCTTGTTGCCGCAGCACAGCTGCTCGATGGGTGTGTTCTCTAGTGTGGAGAAGTGACACGCCTCCACAGGGTTTCCTACCGTGAGAGGGTCCACATCCGCCGTACCGAAGTCCGCAAGCTTTACCTGCACGACCACATTGGCACGTTTTACATTGCATGACACACAAGAGAGAGGGAACGTGGACCATTGCTGCAAAAGTCGAGCGCAGCAAGAGCCTGCGTCAAGTAGGAGGATTCACAAGAAAAGGTGTTTGAAACGTGCATACCATGTAAATACCGCAGGAGGGGCCACGATTGTTCTACCGAGTTTTTTCGCACACAAACGTGCGCACAAAAAAATATCATGTGCGGCAAGCCGCGCACCATCTTTACCACTTGATGCGCTTCGCCCAATTCCGCTGAAACGCCTCGTCAACTCCATAACCGCTACAAGTCGACCCTACAGCATTGAAAACGAACGGCCAACAACTCAACTCAGCAAATATTACGAAATAAAGTCACACGTTACACAATAACCTGCGTGAAGGAAATTTGACAAAATGCAAGAAGTATTGAGGGCACAACCATCCACGCGAACGCGCGCCCAAGCCCTTGCAGGTTAGCTCGCTCCCTCTCCCTCTCCCTTTGTCTCTCTGGCGCACGTCCGATCGAGCACATTACCCATGTGGTACTGGGAACTCATCCAAATCTGCTTCAAATTGAAACACTGCAAGCGAAACAAGACTTAAAAAGCAAGGCCTAGCATGCAAAAAAGTGCGGGGCGCACGGAACCACAGCACACAAAATCTTGTCTTCTATCCCACCCAGGCCCCACTCACCAGGTACGCCCGGTCTTGAGGCAGGCACAGCTCCACCACGTCACCCCCCACCCCGTATCGCAGGGTCACGGGGCCCCCTTCTTCCACGTCACCCCCGCCCCCACCGCATTGGCCGCCGCCGCCGACTAGCCGCGAAGCATCCGAAACGAAAAAGTTGAGAAGCTTCACGTCGAAGTGCCGCAGGCTCAGCTCCGCCCGGCCGGCGTAGAGGGCGAACGCCATCTGGAAGAGGAAACCCTGTGCCTCAACGGTGGGCAGGAGGCCGTCGCGTTGTGTCTTGATGAACACCTCGGCGTCCCCGTGCTCGCAGAGCTCCATGCCGATGTACTGGTTGTGTTTCGGGGGAGGGGATACATGTAGTATGGAAGGATGAGCAGGCTGTGGAAGGAGACGCAAGAGAAACAACTTTTTTCGCTGCTAACAGGAACAAATCATCAAAAGGGACAACGAGCCGCTACATATGAAATTAATCTACACCCAAATCATTCCCCAACACATACCATCATAGCTGAGATGTTTGCACACAGGAGGCTTACCCTGATGACAGTGCTGCGACCATGCTTGATTGCCAGGGGGGAAAGAAAGCACACAAACACACACACACACTAGATCGCCAAAATCAGAACTATACAAAAAAAGGCTTGTATCCTTAACAGAGGACATCGACAAACGTACACCAGTCTAGCCCAGACTTTGGCCTAGAATGGTTGTAGGTTGGTTGGCTGGGTGCCACCCTACAGGATGCAATCAGAACGACGGCCGTGAGGCAATGGCATGGCATGCTCGCTACAGCAATGCTGTTGTGTCAGCATCACCTCGAGGAGGCCAGAGGCAAAACGGCCGCCACCTCATTAGTGCACACGCCCTCCCAGCCTATACCCATGGCCTCTGTGGCCGCAGGGGTATCAATCCTCAATTCCAACAGCGCGCGTCTTAGTCTTTTGCTCTTCCCCCGAGAAGGCAACCAAAAAACATAAATAAAAAAGAGCGAAATAGCATAGCCCACACACAGCACCAACAAACGACGTTTTCACATAGTAGCCAAGCCCAGAAAACGCAAAACAGCATCCATCCATGGCATGGCCACATCGCAGGCTATTGCTGTGCCAATTGACAACCGGACAGCAGTCACACCATATCGGACCCAAGCAATTGTATCGGTAAACCAAGGCCACCTACAACTGTACAAGTATATAGACAAGACAAACGCCTTACCTGATATCGAAGGTCGCTACCACTGCTGGCAGACGCGTGGGGGTTAGAGCGGCCAACCCCTCGCCCTTGCGACACTCCCCCAACCGAGGGATTGGGAACCCGGGGGCGATGGCGGATTATCCCCGGACTTCGCCCGCAAGGATACTTCTCTTCCTTCGTGCCGAACAGCTGTTGGGGGTGAATTTGCAAAGGGGGGCGAGGATCGGATGAACGAATGAATGAGACTTGACGGGCACATCTCACGAGATATACGTACTGCATCGTATGTGTATAGGTTGGACGAACAAACGCTAATGCCAAAAGCACCTTCACCTACGGAAGAAAATAATCCGAATAGGCGATATATGCCTCGCACTGCGCCATGCCGTGCCATTGCACAAACATTAACGTTAACGTGAACGTTAACATCTACCCTACATCCTATAACAGAGCAAGGACGAACGTGTACCGTGGGTGTCAGCAGCATCACGCGCCACGCCACACACACCAACAAATCGCAGAAACACAAAGTAGCTACAAACAGGACTAGAGTGTACCGACACCACCTAGACTACGAGAAGACCCTTCGGTGACAGCAACGTTGCTCCAACAGCAGGGGGGGGTGCGACGCATCCCAAAGCGACACAGGTCAAAATCGAGGCAGTGTCGACCAACTTCACGTCAAACGACCCTAAACACACCCAACAGCAAGAGGGGGGGGGGGGGGTACTCATAGTCGTGCATGCTGTAGTCGTTAGACCATTGACCTCGCATCCCTACAAAGCCGGGACGGAGCACGCCGGGTTCTCACCGGACCAGGCTCTCACATCACCAAGCGCGAAGCGCCGTGAGGTATTCAGCGAGTCGCATGAAGGGTGCGCTGCATCCTGCTGAGGGTGTTCGGCATCTTGTGCTTACTTCCTTGCGTGCGGATGACAGCTGCGTTCAATGACTTAATTTATTTTCTGATGCTCTCACTTTCAGAGAGAGTTGTAAGCGTTGTGTAACTACCTCGAGGGTGCTTGACCAATTTAACACTGAAATGGGGGCGGGGGGGGGGTGTACTCATAGTCGTGCATGCCGTAGTCGTTTGACCATTGACCTCGCATCCCTACAAAGCCGGGACGGAGCACGCCGGGTTCTCACCGGACCAGGCTCTCACATCACCAAGCGCGAAGCGCCGTGAGGTATTTGGCGAGTCGCATGAAGGGTGAGCTGCATCCTGCTAAGGGTGTTCGGCATCTTGTGCTTACTTCCTTGCGTACGGATGACAGCTACGTATGACTTAATTTATTTTCTGGTGCGTTCACTTCCAGAGACAGTTGTAAGCACTGTGTAACTGCCTCGAGGAAGCTTGACCATTTTAACACAACGTGGTGCGATCATCCCCCGTTGCGCGGAGTGAGGTTTCTCGACCCCGCACAACATGATCTACTCGACCACCATTATGGTTACCGCCAAAAAAAAAAAACCGAGGTAAAAAAAAAAACGGTAACCTGGTTGCGGAGTTCACGAAGGGAATTGGCTTTTTTTAAAAGGTGGTTGCCAAGGGAGGAAAACCCAATCCCGATGGCAAACCCCGGGGGGGGGGGGGGGGGGGTAAAGAGGGATCGACCTCATCTCACCTCGGGGTGGAGAGGCACGGTGCTGCGGAAGAGGCCGAAGGTCTGCACGAAGTTGGGGGAGATTCGCCGCTGCACCAAGGACGAAGCCAGTATGCTCACCCTCACTTCTCGGGACACCTGCAATACAGTATACCACAAAAAAAGCAGGACCGACACCCGCGAGAAAACAAACCGCCAAAGGCAGACATGGCGTAAAGGTCGACCCTCAGGATGACCATGACGAGTGTGATGATGTACAATATCTGATCCGCACCCGACCTGCGGTCAGAACTACAATAATGAAAATGCTACAACTTATGTGTGCGAAGGTATCGGAAGGAGAAACTCCTTTGCCACCCATTTTATGTCGCGCATCCCAACAACCGTGCTGCAGCACGAGGAGAAAAAGCTCTTGCTTGTTTGTCCTTGTCAACCACGACGGAAGCTCACAATAAACTCAGAAAAAACGGCGGCAGTATCGCAGCATCTTTCGCTTAACTTGCGATCCAAAACTATTCACAAAAACTTGACAAGACTGCCTACAATCCGGAGGTGCTTCCAAAGCGGCGGGGCAAGATATCCGTGCTACCCCCATACTATCGAACAAGTTGGAAGTACTTGCAGCTTTCGACCACGTGTTGATTTCAAGGTGGACGCGTTGTTGTAATCAACACGAAGCTGGCGAATAAATCGTTGTCGCATCTACAGGTACCCTACCTCTTTTGCTGGTCGTTATCCGACTCATTTTGTACATGCGCCTCTACCACTGGGTGTGGCTCGGAACCACGAGCGTGCAATCAAACGGAACCAAGTGCCGTAGGTGACACACAAGACACAATATACCACGCCCTCGGGACCGACTTTCAAAGCCCGACTACTCCACCGACGAAGAGGATGCCAAGCTCAAAAGATGAGGTTTCCGAAAGATCTCGACGAAACGGTTCCAACGCTGCCTCTCTCGGCACCGCCACACTTTCTTCGGTCAAAAAATCGAGCCTTGAGAATCGGTCCAGGGTGCGTGGTATCTTACATCATGTCACCTACGGTGACGGTACGGTATGGTATGGTACGGTATGGTACGGTACGTACCACTTCCTCGTCTTCCTCCAGCTCTTTCCGGTCCATCACGCTCAGGGCCTCCATCTGCCCGGTGGCGGCGTTCCACACCTTGTGCACCTTTTTTCGGCAGTCGTCGTGTCGTGTCGTGTCGTGTCGTGTCGTGTCGTGTCGTGTCGTGTCGTGTCGTGTCGTGTCGTGTCGTATCGGACGAAAGGCAAGCGAGCAGGACACAGAGAAATGGTGAGAGAGTAAAGGGGTTCTGAACCACACTCCCAATAGGTTACGTCGCCAAAATCATCCCGCCGGGGAGGAGAGAGAGAGAGAGAGAGAGAGAGAGAGAGAGAGAGAGAGAGAGAGAGGAGCATTCGCCAGACCATCCAAGACAGCAGAGAGTATCCTCATCTCCCCACATGAACCATGGTGTACCTGCTTGCAAGCCCCTTCGGATAGGAACCCCCCCCAGGGAAACGTCCCCACCAGCTTTTCCTCGGACCACACGCTACGCGAAGCAACCGGCGCAGGCGCCTTAACCTTCCCCGCTCTTCTTCCCCTCAGCGCCCTCCCGCCGCCCGCCGCCCGGCCCTTATCCTCGGCGCCAGCCGTCATGTCCGAGGCAACCTCAGCAAAGGCGTACACGGAAGCCTTTCTCCAGGCGGCGCAAACGAGCGGCACGTCGCCGAGAAGCTCGTCGACGGAGAGCATGCGGAGGGCCTTCGCCATCACCCCGGGTCGCCGTAACGCCTCCAAAGCGCTCTCGGTCGATACCACCGCGGGGGGCCCCGTGGTATCACCGATTCTTAGGACGGTATCGGCGACGCCGCCGCAGTCAAGGCCGAGGGTGGGCAACGAGGAGGCCTTGGTCGTAGCGATGGCCACCGGCGACGAGGACGATGAGTCGAGGCCGGCGAGGATATCGGCGCCCGCGCTGCCGGAATCGTAGCTCGTGTCGTCGGTCTTGGAGGGCCGCTGCTGCTGCTGCTGCTGCCGCTCGTGCTTGGCAGGCGAGTCGTTTTCCTGGGGGTAGCGATACAACAGCCATCACGAAGGGACGGCGGCGGTGGTTCAAGCCACGGGATATGAAGGCGGCACTATAGAGTGGTGGCAAGGAGACAGGCAACGGTACTACATAAAAGTAGTAATTAGCGCTTCTTTGCACAGACGCGAAACTAGCAGCGGATACACCTGCAGCTGCGACGGCAGACAATATGTCGACACACACGTCAAGTTTGATATCCCCACGTATCCAACACGCTACTGGAACCTACCAACGCAATGCATCGTACCGCGCCATGTCTTCACACGTGCAACAGAGAAGCGCACGACGCACGCCCGTCACCAACGACTGTTCTACACTCTACACAAACGCGGGACAAGGCGACAATGCTTCTGATTGTTCTGATTGGTCGAACATTACAGCAGTAAAGCAGTCCCGTGTAGATTGCGCCGCAACTGACCTCGCTGTTGCAGATGGACAAGGAGAGGTTGTTAAGTTCCGTCAGCGATTTCTCCAGGTCTTCCCGAACCTTTGCAGGCGTTTCTGCTGCAAAGCATAGGGTCGAGGAAGAGGCGGGGGTAACGTGGGTGAAAGGGTGCGGAGCGTTGAAGAAGGATTTTGGTGTTCCGCAGTACTGCTGTATGTCCTTGACTTGACTAAAGTCTGCATGACGTTCGTTAGCACACACCGTAATAAACACCTTCAGCCAGCTGTTGCAGGCATGACGAGCCTGCGACCAAGCTAAATCTCACAGACATAAGGCGGCGCAATTCGATCCTGCTACTCGGCGACGATTGAGGAGCGCCACAAGTAACGACAACAGCAGCAACAGCAACAGCAAATCCAACAACGAAACAACGACGAACGTCTGGCGCGAAGCTCTCGTCCACGACGGCCTGACCGCCTCACTCTGCCCGCTGCTGGTACGCGGCCAACTTCTCTCCCTCCCTGTTTGAACGGATGCCTCACCGTAATGTTGGCGGTTTCAACACCATGTTTCTCGTTATCACCACAAGCATGCATACCTCTGCCGTCTTCCCGCGGTCGGTCTCTGTCTCTCTCTTGGTTTGGCCACGCGGGCCTTTCCACCGACATGGGACTGGCTAGACCTTGAGATGACCAACTCCTTTGGCCTTGGGTGGGTTTGGGTGTCGGTACGGCCTGGAGCATGCTTGAATCCTTGTCCTCCTCCTCTCGTTGCTGCCAGTGCCGGGGGAAACACGAGCGCGTTTGAGCTTAAGCTTCCGTTCGGCAAGAAAACAGCCGAAGAAAATACCATACCATACATCAACATCCAAGAGTCATGAAGGAACGGCGGATAGACAAACGACAGCAACACGTATCAGGCGTACATACATATCGCTTGGCACCACCAATCAGATTTGTCCAACGAAACCATAGAACGAGAAGCAGCAATTACTACAATACGCGACGGGATTGACCAGAAACAAAACATTCACCACCCCCGTGTCCCCCCGCCCCTGTGCTGCCTACGTGTACTCGACAAAAAAAAACACACACACGAACGTACACAAGACATACCTCATCGTCCTCGTCCTCCTCTTCCCCCTCGGAGATGGCGCCACCGGCAAACGCGGCAGCCTTGGGATAGGGAGACAGACGAGACCGCGGCTCCATCTTGCCGGGGCCAGGGCTGGACGCCTCTGCCACCTCCAGAAGAGAAAGCCCCGCCAGGCGAGAGGTTAGCCCCACGCTGCTGCTTGTCCTCCGCGACTGTTTTTTTTTTTCCACAATGAAAAAGGCGTTACATGGAGCGACGGAGGGGATGGGGTACGAGCAAGCGTCAGCTGGGCATCGGCAGCTCGATGATAGAGGTTGACTTGTTGGGTGCGACTTTTGTTCGAACGACATGCAGGGATGGGGTGATGGCCAGAGAATAGAGGGCACGGGGGTGTGAGGTACACGTTCGACGGAGGGGCAAAAGTGAGGGTCAAGACATGATAAAGCCATGACCCGACGTTCGAAATTGGGTGAAGAAGCTTTTCATGAAAAATGCAGAGGCGATGGTGGACAATAAGCGGACTGGAGACGATATCTTGCATGATATAGCCTGAGGCAACGACAATACTGACTACCGGTACCGCCGGCCAAAACAAAAAGGAGGAAGAACGATAGCGGATAGAGGAGTCACGTTCAGGTTAAGGGTTAAGGCGCTGAGAGTCACGACAACGGGACCGTTTGGCTTGTCGTGTCCCTTTGAGCAGCGACGCGTACTGCCGTAAAAATCTTGCAAGGATTAAGACTCTTATTTATCTACGACGCCTATTGTACCTTGATGCTGATGGAAACCCTCCGCCGCTTTGCCTTGGACTGCCGCCGCCGCTGTTTCTCCCGCTGCCCCTCGGTCATCATGAGGCTGCTGAGGCGATCCCGGCCTCGCCTGCCTCTCCCGACCCCGACCGAGCCGTCTCGCCGTCGCAATCTGTCGCACGCACCGCCGCCGCCGCCGCCGGCCAAGAGAGAGCGTGGGCATCGAGGGTCGTGAGTTCCGCGGCAACAACAAGACAAGAGTGCACGGAAACAAGAGAAACCAAACGTCTTCTGCGGCTCAACAACTCAAGTCCGTAGAACACGAGACAACAACAACCTCCTGCGGCTCAAACAACAAAATTGCGCAAAACAAAAGAAGTGCACAAAAACGAAAGACAACAAACGCCTCCTACGGCTGAACAACAAAAGTGCCCAGACCCAAGAGACAACAAAGGCCTTCCTGCAGCTCAACACACAATATATGTACATCTGTCGGTAGAACCTTCTCATTAGACGCGTGTCCGAGTTTCAATATCCCGCTACACACAAGACTGCCGCCTCGTTGATCTGCCGTTTAGAGCGGTCGATGCTACCAATAAAACACATGAAATCAACTTCCACACAATCCACGAACACTGCCTAGCCGTCCCCACGAACAACACCGGCGGCCGACTGGTTCCACCAACAACCCCTCCTCCCCACCCCACTCACCCGTCGTCACCGAACACCGAAGGGTCCCACAACGCTTGCATCTCCGCAGCCCCCAGTCCCTCCCTCTCCTCCGCACACACGTCCGTCTCCTCCAAGCCCTCGCTCCCGGCAATACCACCAAAGTACCCATCACCGTCACCATCACCGTCTTCCGTCTCACCGCCCTTGACACCAGCACCGCTCCTTCCTCCTTCGCGTTCCGAAACGGCTCCGAGAGAGTTACCGTAAGCGAGGAGGGACCCCGAATCACCGGCGCCGCCGCCTTTTGAAGACCCCGGGGTCGCTTGAGGGGGTGGGAGGAGTGGGAGATCCGGGAGATCCGGCAGGGGCGTGGTGACGCCCTCGAGAGGTGTCTCCGCGGTGGAGGCGGAGCCGTGCATGACGGGAGACGCCATCGACATCGGCAAGTCACCGCCGCCGCCGCCGCCGTCCGAGTCCTGGAGAAGTATTGTACATTAAATAGGACGGCGTTGCGCGTAAACGTTACGAAAATAGGTGTTTGTACCACCCTTGCAGCAAAGTGTTGCGAGGTCAACCCGGAGACTGCGGTTCTTCACATCCAAGCATCTAGTGACGAGAAACGGAACCTGCCCTATGGCGGTGTTTCGCTCCACAGCGATCCTCTTCAGGTTTAACGATTCTGGTCACCACAGCCCGTGGCAAGGATATTTCAGCGTGCTTCAGCATCAACGGGCTGGGGACTTGCTGGTCGTAGGACCACGTCGTATGTGTAACCTTTGGATCCAAGGGCACTATGGGGTACAGTATGTACTTCGACGATATGCCCATACATTGTATTGTATACGTCTTGAGTCGGATGGTACTGCGGCTGGTCACCTCCATCCGAACATCATTTTTCGAGCAAGCGGAAATAATCAATCCCCATCTGACTTGCACTGGCTCATCGCGACCACCCTGTCGTGTGTATCTAGACTCGGCTCGCTTAAACCGCGGGGCACGATGCAGGATCATCGACTTTCCATGCAGACGAGGAAACACTCATGTGTTGTATTGTGTCCCGAACTCTCTTCTCTCACCCGTCCTCCGCTGGCACGCCTTCCTGTAGCTCTGTCCACGAACGCTCGGAGACGCCCGGCCAGGTGCCGCAAGCTGCCGGCGGATGCCCGCTGACTGATGCCCCAGTCACCGTACTGGGGCTGGCTGCCCCACTTGAGCTTCGTCTGTCGCGACACGAACACCCATCAATCCATTACAGCACAACGTTCGAGACGACCATATTAAAGTAACAACAATGCGGACAAGGGCGGGGCGCAGGAGTACAAAAAGATTGCAGAGCCCAGCAAACACATGCAGCGGTAGCAAACGTGCGGGTCATGACTATGCACGATCGTGACAAAATACCCACCAACCCAAACCAGAAATTGTTTGGACCGAAAAAAAACAAAACAAGGATACAGAGTCTCTGATACGGCAAGGCACAAACAAATCGTGCCGGGGAAAACAAAATCGAGTCGTCTGCATACAGTACTGTACCTCCGGCTGAGGGGTTTCGAACTGCGTCCGTGAGGTGGTGGCCCCAACAGATTCCGTGGACGTGCGACGGTTGCCTCCTCGGTCCGACATCCCGGAAGAAGCGGCGGCTGAAGAGCAAGAGCAATGGCGTGCATGTGCGTGTACGTGTTTGTTTCCGAGAACGACATGGCGGACGATGGTGAACACGAAGCGGTCGGGAGAGACAACAATAACAAGGAAGGACGTTCTTTGACGTTCTTTGGCCCAAAGGAGGCTGTGAAGGGGGTTCAAGAGCTCAGAAGCAACAACCCGAAGGGTCACGTGGGACACGGACTCATTCGCACTCCTTTTCTTCGCAGAGAGGATTTTAACTCGGTGAAAGCGATGGCACCTGCCTAGAACAGGCGCAAACAGCACAGAAAAAATCGTCAGCCGTCTTCCTAGGATACGTAGCGGTGAACGCCTTAACCTCAATCTTTGGAAGGCTCGCGGCTTACCTGGGGCACCAAGAGCGGGAGAGCGATAGCGGCTATCTCTATCTCTGTCTTTATCTCTGCCAGCAGAAGTCGGGTCAGTCGTTGACCGGGAATCCGTCGCGTCCAGTCCCTGCTTGTCGGTACCGGACACACCTGCGGCTGCACAACAAACGCGAAGCACCCGGAGGACAGCAACATGTCGTCAAGCCGGGGTTTTTCCTGCACGCTCTTGCTGCAGCGGTGACACTCGTGCTCGCCACGCGCACGCTACAGTAAGGAAGCAGCTTGCTGTAGCAACACTACAACGGCACACACGTATTATTGCACCTTGCCGTACAAACCGGTCGGTGCAACGCGAGTCAATCGTTCTTGCTCCGCAGGGCAAGAGAGAGAGAGCGACAGAGACAGAGCTTCATCTAGCCGTATGCATAAGTTTAGTAGCATACCACGCCAACAAAATCTCCAAACAACCCCGACACCGCGCTAGTCCTATGATAGATGGCACCACCGTCAGCAGCGCAACGTTGGTTGCTACAGGTCCTGTTCTGTCCTCGCCCCGTCAAGAGCCGCACCTACAGCCGTACCTGCGGTAGTGTGTACCCCTGTCGCGACCTCACAGCCACCAGCGACGAGACTACATCACCCTCTCGCACTTTTGGCCATTAACCCAACCCCCCGCAGAAACCTTACAAAATGTAAGGCGCTCAAAAGGGGATGCAAAACTGCTCTAAACGTGCTTTCTTTCACCTCCTTCGTTGTAGGCGGCCGCTGCTCTCGCCCGTTGAACACAAGCAGAGCTTCCCGATGCCGAGGGCGTGTCGAACTCCTTCACCATCAGGGGCACGGACAGAGGGCTCGAAATGCTCCTCTGTTGCTGATGCGGGGCAACTTCCGCTTGTTGTCCTTCACCAGGAGACTATTAGCAGAGGAAATTACAACACAACGGAACAACACAAAAAAAGTGTGCACAGAACAGCACGGAAAAATATGCAAAAAATAGGAACAAACCTACAAGTATCATTTTCGCAGGAGGATGGGCCATCAACATATCGACAGTGTGAGATCTAGTGTCTGGTTCTGGTTCGCTTGTGTTGATTTGTTATGGGTTCTGTAATTTGTCGAAGGCGTGTATCTACCCGTTTTAGGTATTTTGCCTGTGACCATTCAAGCCTTCCGCGTCAGTTGGACCGGTAAAAGGATGGTAGATGGTACTCAGCAGAGACCTAAGCGGTTATCAAGAACATAGGAGAGGGCGCGACGAGACAACGTCGAGCATATCGATAAGTACAACCCAAAAAACCCGGACCTCCGACCTTCACACACTAATCTTGCAATCAAACCGCAACACGTATCTCCCATCTCAAACAAGCAGAGAGCTTGCAACGGCTTATGCTGTGCCGTGTGATTACCGACCACTTCGACAGCGCACCAAGAGTTAGGATTGACACATTGACACGAACAACGCCGCCGTGCGACCAGAAACAGAAATCGGAAGCGCGTGTGAGTGGCTATTGCTGCTTGCTGCCCACAACAACACAGCACAAAGCGCCTAAAGCGGGAGATAGACCGGAGGGGTGGAGTGTACACCCAGGGAACGAAAACGCCACCTTGCGACACACACAGGCGGCAAGACCTCAAACGAGGCGGGAGAATACACGGTCTTCAGGGCAGGCAGCGCAACACTGGTGGGTATGTAGGTGTACCTGGACCGCTTCTCCGGAGCTAAGGCAGCTCAGGTACAGGCTGCTGCTGCGGCTGCCGCTGCTCAGGCGCTCTAACTTCGGGGGCTCCGCAGCGGTGTCGTCTTCTCGACCCTGCCCCGCGTATGCCTTCGGCCAGCTAGTCGACGAGGCAAAGGAGGAGGAGGAGGGAGCATTCCCGAGCGTTTTCCTCCGTATCAAGAACCTAAGAGGATAGTCGGGCGCGTATCGGCGGAGGCAGTGATGGGGGGGGGGGGGGGCCCAAGGGGAAACGAATGGACAAAAAACGGGTTGCGGGGGGGGGTGAGTCAAGCACCCCGGATGTCGGACAGGCGCCGGGAAGCAGGTCAAGGGAACCCTAACATGAACCCTTGCTAGTGTAGGGAGACGCGCCTTGAGAGCAGGTGTCGAAAGGTTTCAAACGAACGTGAAGCCACAACTGCGAAAGCTCTCGGCTATTCAGGGCATGCATCACAAAACCGGTATACCATACATATCATACGTTACGGTTCCAATCGCTCCACCCTCTGCCCCAATGCACCAACCCCTCCCACGGCCAAAGCATGAAACACAAGACAAGCCACACCCAACTACTTCTCACCCGCCCTCCGGAGACGCTCGAGTGCCGCGCGCTGGCAGAGTCTTCGCCTTCGCCCCGAGCCCCAGCTTCGCTCCCTTCCGGGCCAGCGACGCACCCCTTCCCGTAGCCCCGACCCCCCCTTCGCCACCAACCGCTTCGCCCTCGCCACTGGCGCCACCGCTCCCGCCGGGGGCACCGTCGACTGCGGCACCACTGCTGCCACCAGAAGCGACCGAGCCTGCCCGCGGTGTAAAGCTGGCGTCGGTTTGGAGGGCGTGGCTGTTGTCGGCGTCTCCGAATAGACCGGCAAGGATGGGGCTGGGAAGGCCCAGCGCGGTGGACCGGGTGCAGGTGACTCCCGGGGGGCTGTGGGACGCGGGCGCCGAGGGCGTGGCGACTGCAGACGGGGTCTTCGGCGCCTTTCCTTCGTGCTTAGCCTCGCCGAGGAGCTGCGGTGTGGTGTGCATGCGTGTCATCCATCGGGGGGAAGAGCAACGGGTGGTACGTTGGGTTGTTGTCCCGTAATGAGTTAAATAGCAAAATTATCGACAAGCAGCGGCGATGTTCGAAAAGAGCAGGAGAGAGGACAGGCATAATGCTTGAAACAGAGAGGGCAAACAATACAGCAGTAAGGACCGAACGTATCAGCCCGACATGCGATTGGAGAAGGCGGCAAACAGAAACGCGACGAGAATCCAGCCATCACAGAGACTTCCCTTCCGTCACGGCAGCTGTTCCGCCAATACTTGTGCCGCAACCTCACCTCCTCGTCGTCCTCCTCCTCTTCCTTCCCATGAAGGCCGCTCAGGTAGTCACGGAAGCACTCCGTCGGGGAACCACCGGCCCCGCTCAACCTCGATCGCTCGTTTCTCGCGACGTTCGAGTTACCCACCGGGGTGTAGTGGGCAGGCAGCGAACTGATTCGGGGTCGGCTCGGCGTTCCGTCACTGCCTCCGAGAGACGTCGTCGCCTCGGGAATGGAATGGCCATGGCCAGGGTTGTCGCCGGTCGAATCGGCCATGATCTCAAGTTGGGCCTACACCCCCAAGAAGGATCGTGAAAATCATCATTACCAGAGGGCGGCAGGCGAGGAAAGGCAACAACCAAACTGAGCAAGCAATACATGATGCACGAGGGCGGTGGCAGGCAGCGCCGGTCTGTGAGTGGGTGCGCCTCCAGCGGCAAGCGCGTCCGCACGTGCGCACACCGCGTGCTCGGACGATGCACTCGCAGCAGTACACTACCACCCCGCCTGTAGGCAAGCCTTGGGAGATCAAAGAAGCCAAGGTCCTCGCTCGCAAGGCGACCTAAAAAAAGCACGTGAGACGTCAACAAGGGAGAACACCCCTGGAAGTTAAGAGACAATGTTCGTTATCTGCAGAAAACAGAATACCGTACCTGCGCGGCGTGCGTCTCGACGGCCGGCGACCTGATCTCCAGCCGGTCCATGCGCCTTGCCACGGAGCTCAGCCCGTGCGCCCGGCGCATAGCCGCGCTGTCGCCGGTGTCCGACGGGGAGGCCTGCGGCGTCTGCGCGGGAGCCATCTCCTCGTCCTTGTCGCCGGCGACGAACATCCCCGATTCCTGCTCGCCCGAGTCCCGTCTAGCCCATTCGCCCGACAGGCCGTACATGTCGACGGAAGCGGCACCGGCGAGACCAGGGGGGTACTGTGCCGCTCCACCGCCAGAAGATCGCACGGGGTTCGAGTCGGACCTCGCGTGCGTCGCGCTCGGCCTCGCGCCGCCCGCGAACGATTTCGACCGGCGGCGGTCGTCAGGGGGAGCGCCGGGAGAGCGCAACACCCAACCGAACCCGGCGTCGCCGCCGATCGACAACGCCTCTCCCGGAATCTCTTCCCCGCCGCGGCGGCTTCCCCTCTCCATGATTCCCTGCGGAAGAGAGACCGGTCGGCCAGGGTTCCGTAGGCTGTTCCCGTGGTTGAAACTGGGCATGCGATGGGAGCGGGACAACGGCGCGTTGCTTCCGCTAGAGACCTCGCAGGAGCTCTTCCTCCGCGCGTGTTTGATGCCGTCGCCGCCGCCGCCACTGCCACCGCCAAGGCTCCCTCTCCTCCTGTGCCTGAGAGAGGCCACCGACCCGAAACTGCGAGCGGTGAAGTCTTCCCTCGCTACCGCTGTGGCGTCAGAAAGACCGATGCCGCCGGTCGGCATGGATGCGGACATCTCCAGCACCGGCAAGGGTGACGACGTCGAGTTGGCCCTGGACCTGCGGCGGTGGGAGGACCGGGTGACCTTGGCGCAGCCGGCAGCGGCGGCGGCGGCGGCGGCGGCCCCGTGCCAAGCGGAGGGCGCCGAGGTCTGCGACAACGACAAAGACCGGGATAGCCTGGCGGGGGGGCTGTCGTCCCCCCACCCCCCACGGGCGAGATCTTCCACTGAGGACGCTTGAGCCAGAGCCGGCGCCCTCTTCTCCCCGTGGGTGACCCTCTGGGCCTCGCGGCGCGGCCGTCTGCTGAGTCCGACCAAAGCCGGGCTGGTGGTCATCGCTAGCGCTGGCGCAGACGCGTGGGCCTTCAAGTCCGTGGGGTCGGGGGCGGCCCGCTTGAGTATGCTGGATGTGGATGAGGCCACCGCAGGTGCGCTTCCCGCCGTTGTCGTAGTCGGGCACGGCGGTTTGGGCCTTGGGATCACGTCGGTAGACGATGAAGTTAAGTCTATAACGACATCGTCTAGGTCATCGCTGTCGTCTCCTGTCGCATCGATCACGGCGTCGTCGAGCTCGCTGTCGTTTTCTTCTTCAACACTGAAACCTGACGAGGCATACAACACAGACAGACGAACAGGGGGGCACGCAGGAGAGATCACAACGTGGTGCGATTATCCCCCTTGCGCGGAGTGAAGGTTCTCGACCCCGCACAACATAATCTGCTCGACCACCATGCATGGTTACCGCAAAAAAAAAAAGGAAAAAAAAAAAACGGTAACCTGGTTGCCGAGCTCACGAAGTGATCGGCTTGTTTTACAACATCGCTGCCAAGCGACGAAACCCCAACCCCGATGGCAAACACCGAGGGGGGGGGGAGAGGGTACTCATATTGTAAACGCATGCCGTATCGTTAGGCCATTGACCTCGCATCCCTACAATGCCCGGACGGACAGGTTTGTCGGGTTTTCGTCGGCCCAGACTATGGGGCAGGGGGTGGGGGAAGAACACCAACAGCAAGCCCGGAGCTGTCGCACGCACCATGCCTGACCAAGCTCCCAGAAACAGGGATCATGGGGCTGAGGTGTCGGCTTCGGCTGCTTCTGTGCAGCGTTGTGGCGTCTTCCACGCCACGGGCACCCCTCTTGCTCCCACGGGGCCGCTTGTCTCCCACAAGAATGCCCTCGGCGCTGCTGTCGAGGGAAAGTTTGACTTCTAAGGAAGCTGCGCCTGCACACGATCATCATTGGCCAGGGCGGGGGGGGGGGGGGGGGACAGCAGTGACTCAGCCTCGGGCAGCGACGGCTTGAGGTGGTGCAAGCCACTACGCCAGGGCAGTGGGTGCCACACATTCTAACAACCCCATGAAATATTCTTCCCCGGGGGGTCTACAGGTCTATAAATAACTCTCTTTTGCAAACACCACCTCCCAGCATCAACCCCTTCAAGGCCCCGCGGAAACAATACGGGACGATGGTGGGCCGCGAAAAATCCAAACCCTTGTCCTGCAGAGAGAGCAAAACTGTCCAAAACAAACCCACCCCCCTGAACTCCGGCAAACGATTGACACCACGCGCACCTCCCGGGGACAGGAGAGGTGTAGGGACTATCGGCGATAGGTGATTGTCCTCGTCAAACTTGTCGCAATTGGACCCCTCAGAATCGTCACCGCCGTCGGACAACGGATCGTCAACCGCCACCGCCACCGCCGCCGCCGCCGCCGCCGCTGCTGCTTCTGCGCGCATCTTGCCCCTCGCGCTGCTTCTCGACCCCCGCGTGGCGGCAGGAAGAGGGGCAGCGCGCTTGGTCTTGCTTTCGCCCTTGCGACGGCGGCCACCGCCGGGCTTGGGGTTGGATGGCCGGATGCTGCCGGCCTCCTTCGCCTTACCGTTGCCGTTGCCGACGTTCAACGACGCGCTCCTCGTGAAGTCCATGCCGTCGTCTCGCCATTCCTCTTCTTCTTCCGAGCTGCTGCTCTTGCTGCTGCCGTCGCCGCCACCGCCGTTGCTGCTGTAGTTCTCCCCGCCTCCGGCAGCGGTTGCACACGTCTTGGCACCGGCGACCTGAAATAACGATTGCATGCCAAACGGCCGGCCCGAGAGAACAACCAGAACAACCACCGGTGATGCGTTACACAAAACCTACGATTCGTTTTACACAATCGACGTGCGAACACGGCGGTACTCTTACCCTTACGGCGTTCCTCGAAGCAGTTCTACTTCCTCCCACATAGAAAACAAGACTGCCGTCAACTGATGCATGCTGGGTGTAGGCCGGTTTCAGGCGGAGAACAAACGTACCTTAGATCGATCCTAGTCTAGAGGCGGTAGCGGTCGATCCATCCATCCCTTACCCTCGACCATACACGACACCCATGTTCACCTTTGCCTTCGTGCGCGGTGGCCTGTCCCCTTCCGACGTGTAGTTCGTGATTGGCCTCAGCGGACTCGACAGGGGAGAGGAAGGCCCCCTCCCCGCCGACTCCCCGCCGCCACCACGATCGGCCCACCGCTCCGGCCTCCCGGCTCCCCTCCTCGTCGGTGACCGCTCCCGACGAACACTCTGCTGCGATGACGACGATGCCCGTGGTCGGCCCCCCTCCGCAACAACCCCCTCCTCTTGGCCGGTGCCGGAGATTTCGGAGATTACGGCGGAATCACTTGCGCCGCCAGCGCCGCCAGCGCCGGCACGCCTCGCCGCCCGAGTCTTGCGGGCGGCGGGTACCTTGCGCTTGGGGGCGGGCGCCGGTGCATCCACCTCCTCCATCGCTGGTGTCCCCGCCTCTCCCTTTGGGGTAGGGTCAGCAGAGGACGACCTCGCAGCTCGACTTCGACTAGCGCCTTTCCGGGCACGCGCGGTCGTCTTCTTGGCCTTCCTGCCGGCTGCCTTTGGGTCGGAGGGGGCAGCGGCCGCAGCGGCAGCGCTGTCGCCGGGAGATTCTAGGTCGAGATCCAAGCCACGTTTGCTGTGGATACGAGCAACAGTTCGGGGAGACAAACGGAGGCGTTGAGAACCGCACCAGGCCACCTATCGGACCTTTGGACGCTTTGGTACGGCGATATTGGTGCCGTGTGACTGGCTCTCGCGTTGTGCTACAACCGACCTCTTAAAAGGTTGGACCATTTCTTCTGAAAAACAGCATTAGGATCATGAGCGGTTCATGTTTGGACGGGCAGTCATGTCCCGTGGTGGACTTTCCACGGACGGGTGAGGTTGGGTACACCGTACTCTGGGCAAGCCTCCGCCTGCATTGCACATCTGTCCCAGCTGTGTGTTCAGCCTGGTGACCACCTCAAAACGCAACAAGATGTGGAAGGAAGTAGGGCAGACAGGCTCAAGGTAAAAGGGAGCAGCAGGTCCCAACCAGAGCAACAAACAACATGTACCACAATGCTTGCAAAGCAGAGACGCAATCAATACACAACAAGCGCGGCTTACAGCGGGTCGTACATAAGAAAAACCGTCAGGGCCGCACTCCCGGCTTTGGACTGGTGCATACATACCGAGGATGCTTAAAAATGCACTAGATACAAAAATCCATCCAAAATGAGATCAAAGGAGGGGTGTCGCAAGATACATTGGCATCCTCGCTGCAATTTGAAACATGGATCTCTGCTTGTTTCGTGGAGGCTCTTGACTGCTCCTCCAACTTTTAACACTCTCTCGAACGAAACACTCACGCGAACGACGTCAGCACGATGGGGGAAGAATCAAGCTCGGGGGAAGCCCTCGACGCCAACGAGTCGTCACCCAAAGGTGACTTCGGGTCCTCATCGTAGGCAGACGATAGCCCCACTCTGGTCAAGCCGTACTGCCCCCCTCCCGCCCCACCCGCGGGGGTGTGGCCCCTGAACAGACCCCCCGCCTTTGGCCCGGAGGCTGCGGAGCCGCGCAGGCTCGACGTTGGTCGCCTGCTGCTTCCATACGTCCTGGTAGTTGCCACAAAAGCGAGGGGAGAACAGAAGCGCTGTGACTTGGATGACTGTTTGGCTCTTGTCAGTTGTGCTCTTTGCCGATGCCATGGATGAAGGCAAAACGTTGGAGGAGGGCATGTGTATTGACAATTTGTGGTGTGACATGAGACCGAAAACACACATGCCTCTAAGTCGTTCTCATCAGACCGGCCGTGTTTTGGTTTTGGAAATGATAAATGTTCTTGTTTCATGCATGCCGCCCGAGAGGGAAGCAGGAAGAGAGCACGCCGAAAGGATACACAGCAGCACGTCGACATCTACCGGTCGACTTCCCTACCAGTCCCAATGGGTTTACGCGCCAACGTACACATACAGCAGTACCTGCACAAAACAGGTGTATTTTCTCGTATTGGGAACCAAACAGACAGGTAGGGTCACCATCAGATATATGTATTTGAGGTGCTTTCATTGGCCGGCATGGCTCAGGCGTGACACGGTGGTGCTTCTCATGATGAAAAGTACCTTTGAGGTATAAGCGCACCCGTGGGAAATCTGTTTTCAGATAAACGAAGGACTGAAAAACTCGTAATTTTTTTTGAACGACCCGCGAAGAAAAATTGTGTTGAAAAATGTGTCAATTCCAGTCATCCTTAGTGCTGCGCAGCGATACTGGCTCTCTGAGCACCTCGTATCACAGGATCACAGGACCAATCACAGAATGTGGCACGCTGCTGTGTGGCACGCGTACGCGGCTAGCGCGCAGCAGCACCCACGCAGGCTTGGCCGCAACCATATGTACTAGAACTTGCAAAGCGGGTGTTCGCAAAAACGTGAGAGTAGGTGTGGCACCGCTGGACTCAAGGGTACAGGTCGTGAGAGACGGTACGCACTTTTCGAATCCCGAAGCATATACTTTAACCGGCCATCCGGCACGCGTCATCGTGCGACGCATGGGCCTGCAAAAAAAGGTAGTACAGCTGTGTGCATATCACCATAGACTAGATGTCGATCGTTGTACGTCGTTTAGATCGGGGGCAATGGTAGGAGAGCCGTGTCATCCTCTTGGCCATCAACGCGTCTCGGGGAATTCAAAGTAGGGGTTGAGAGACAAGTGAGCTTACAAGTAGTGCTGGCTGTGTGCATGTAAAATGTATATGCACCTTCCTCGTCAGATACAACCGGCGTCGCAAGGCCACAAACGCAACGGCCGAAGCAGCAGCCGCTAGATAAGTCCGTTCGCATGCAATGCTCCGTGCAAGGCTCCATCAGACAGAGAAAACGGAGAGAGCAAGGAGGCTCAGCTATAAGGGCCTCTCTGTAACTACGGGTTGCAGAAGCAGCAGCAGAGGAATTGAACACGTTGCTAATCCTTCCACAGCAACAGAGCGGTGGTGCTCGTTGTCGTCTCGCACCTGGTCGTAGAGGACGACCACAAACCTCTTGCACTCGATCCCGGTGCTGGCTTGGCCTTGGATCCCTGGTGCTTCGGCGATCCCTCCAGCCACGACATGGCCTCGGGCCCTCTCTACCCGCCGCCACCTAGAAAAAGTGACCAAGAGGCTAACCGCCGTTTGCAGTTTGACTTTTGGCGCCACGCAAACCAAAACCACGCTCAGCGCTGATTTCGACGGCAAGTCGCCGATCAAGCGATACCCTGCACACCCAAAAGAAAAATCTCTGCCTACTTCGTCATCGTCACCCCGCGTAGTCCCACTACAGCGACAGCGTTCCCCTGACGCCCAAGTGATCCTGGTGGCAGGATTATCTCTCGATGGCCGGGGGGTTCAAAACGTTGTGGCGTTTTTCAACCGGGGTGAGGTGTCGCGCGTGAATTACAGAAAAAAAAGGTTCGGCACAATAATAGGCAGCTAACCAGCTAACGGTCATCGGGGTGGTGTTCGGGCGGGAGAAATAACGGGGGAAGCAAAAGAGGGCAGCGGGGTGTTGCGCAACCACATGAGCATCAAAATAAACTGTTGTGAATAACGCTAAGCCAACTCGACGTGACTTATCTGTGGACCAAGAGGCCCTTCTGTCATATTTCATCTACCGCCTGTATGCATACCTCGTGCAAGAAGAACAACGGGACAGCAGCAGTAAGTAATAGTGAGCGAGGAGTCCCCAACGTACACAACATGCCGTACTCCCATGCCCTGGTGCGTAGTGCCTGATGCTGGTACGATACCCTTTGATTTTTTAGGCGGGTGTGGGAAAAGCGCTCCTTTTTCCCTTTTTATTTCTGCCTTTATTTTTGTCTTGTTTTATTTTGATCGGTTTCCTAGGGCTCCTTTTCTCGACCGGTCGGTGCGGTAGCTGTTCTTTTCTTTTTATCATTTTGTTTTCTTTGTCCGAGTGGTTTGTACTCTATTCTTGTCTTGTTTCAACGGGGCCTCGTATGTGCCGGGTTTTGCGACCACGGGCTCCACATTTTTGTGGATTATAGAGCTAATTAATGTGAGAGAAACAACAACTCAACAACAAAAACAGGGCACACACAACCACGTACGTATCTAAATCCGGAGCGAATGTCTCCATGAGGGTACGGAGGAGTGTAATCAGGGTTAGCAAATCAGTCGTAAGGCTGCACTCGGACATCTGACATCCATACACCTTCTCTGTCTTCCGTCTTTTTGGTCATCCCGTTCCTGTCGACGTCGGTGGTGTTGTGATGCTGCACCTTCCTTTCGGTATGTATACAATGAATGCTGGATTCACCAGCCAGGGTAACACAGGTCCTAATAATGACTGCTGTTGTCTTTCCGCCATCCATCTGTGAACATGAATATGCCTCCGAAAATTAAGTCTGTTCTTGTAACAGTAGTAGTAGCGCGGGAAATCAAACAATGAAGACTAGAAGACTACTCGTTCAAAGGAAAGCGTGATTTCACGCATACAACGGTCAGGAAGGACGGTTGGCATGGAAACTCGAAGTCCTCCTCGGGCCCACGACTGCCGCTTCGACGGTAGGGATACATGAACAACAGGGTGAACACAGGATGATAAGATGAGAGACTCCATCGAACGAAGGAAAGGGAAACGCTCATGGCATGGACGCAGGAAGGAAACAAAGGTGCTGCGCGAACGCGCAACGGCCTTGCTTGGTGTGCATTGCATCGGCGACAGTATCACGAACGCACGACATCCAGGAACGCGAACGAAGTGCTTCCGGTGTGGCGCCAGAAAGATGCCTCGAGCCTTTCGCTCTCGAAAACAGGGGTGATACACCATGCCGCGGCCCGAGCACGACAACAAACCACCCAATGAAGAGAAGAGTTTTTTTTTTTCCACCCCCGCGAAGAGCTTTGAACTACAACAGCAACGTGGTTTGGGGGAAGCAAGACGCGCGGCCGGCCGCGTTAGCAAGAGACGACCCACGACAAGGCCGACAGCGGTACAACCAACAAGACAAAACGAAGCAAAAGCACCAAGCGTAGGGGAAAGCAGCAACAGCAGCAGTCAGTGCTGTGACGATGGCAACCAACTTGACGCCCCAAAAGGAGCGACAAAATTTACGCCAACACGACAGCAAAAACGCCTACAAGTAACCAAGAAAACCACCAGAAGACGCGTACCGTATAGACCGAAAAACAAGCGGGGTGGCCAACGGAACATGCTTGCGCACTAAAGCCCATCCGCAACCCGCGCTACTACAGCAGTACCCTCTTGCTGGGGAAGGTTCCGACTCCTCCATATTTGACCCTGTCGCAGACCTCCCCCCCTCGCACTGGTACAACTCAAAAACACTCGGACGGTATTGAACCAAAACAGCCACGAGCACACCTTAACTACCCCTACAGGCAAAACGTGAGGTAGTCGAAAGCGAGCGTTGGTGGGGACAGCTCAACCAGCACGAGTCCGCTCCAACGAACCAGGATCCCTCGAATCAATCGAAACAGCGACCGAGGCGCAAGACGATCTACTACGCCGCCGGGTGTTCTTGGTGGCAACGCTTCCAACTGCGCGGTTCGTTGGTGTTCGCCTAGTTGTTCTCCTGCTGGTGCTCGCTCAGGACCTGCAGAGCCTCGTTGATCTTCGCAGCGAGAGAATCCGGGGACTCGAGCAGGTGGAGGAGCTCTCCGTTGTCCATCTCGAGGAGCATGCCTGGGGAGACGAGGGAGAGCAAACGCGGCAGTATAGACCAGAGGACGCGGATGCAAGAGTAAGGTCGAGAGGACGCTCCAATGGCGAGCGAAGCTCGGCAAAAGATTCGGGATTGTGATGTACAACAAGCATGCAGAAGCCTTAAGAGTACTGTGGTACCGGCCAAAACATACATCAAGACCTGCGGCAGAGAAGCACGTTTTCAGGATGGCACCTACAGTGACACAGTGCCAAGAGACTGCCAATCTCTCCAAGCCGACCTCTACATGCAAAAAAAAAATTCTTGGTCCTGCGGTAATCTCAACCAGCAGCTCTTGCAACCTCTCCTGTACATTCCGCAAAAATTCATAGCAGTAGCCCCCACGAATAACCACCACAAGCTGATAACGCACACGATGCTCATATGCATTTAAAGGCGAGGGGCGCAAAGGGGATGGGCTTTCTCTCTTACCGGTGATCTTTCCAGCCAGGGCCGGCTGGCCCTCGTAGATGAGAGGGTACAGGCGCTCCCCGATCATGTTCTTCTGCTTCTCCGGGGGCGCAGCGGCGAGAGCCGCCGCAGACAGAGACTCGTTCGTGGCTGGCGCAGCCTGCGGGCCGGGGGCCGGCATGGACTGCTGCTGGGGGGCACCCTGCTGCTGCTGCTGCTGTTGTTGCTGCTGCTGCTGCTGGGGAGGCATGTTGGGGGCTCCGGGCTGCTGGTTGCGGACGCCCTGGGTGTACTTGAAGTTGCCGCGGCCGGGGCCTCCGGGACCCTGGGAAACGAGTAAATGGCGCGAGGCGGGGCAAATCGTGAGACTAATTCTATACAGAACCCAATACAGTGCAAAAGTGGAGCTCTTTCCTCTCTCTATTTTGGGACAAGTGTAAAACCGCCTAAGTAAGCTGCCCAAAAACACGGCAGGCAGATTTCGCCCATTGAAGGAAGTCACAAACTTGTGCCGACGAACAGTGAGCTTGACAACAGTCGCAAAAACGTCAACAGAGCAGCGCAAACACGCAGCACGTTGACTACCGACGCAGGCTTCACACCGGACATTGGCCTCAGCACCAGGACAACAGCAGAATCGATGGTGTACGCCACAGCTCGACAGTCTGAAAATAGCCGAGTGTTTGACCGTAGGTCCTTAAGCCAGCACGGCCCGAGGGCGCGTCTTTGCTTTGCCGAAAACCAAACCCCCATCGAGATGCCCATTTCTCCTTTCGACGAGCTCGACTGTATCAACCAAGCTGCACCCTTACACCGTTCACGCTTCCTGGATGCACAGCCACAGCCTCACACCTATACGACTCAGGCAACAGCGTCCAACCGCCGAGTTGGGTGCGGGACAAACCCTTGTGTGCGCTCTAATCGGTCCTTGGTATCCGCACTACCGGAAAAAAAATCTTAAGACCCCAGAAAGCTATGTATAATAGTGCCATTTGACAGCTGTTGTTGATCGCGAACGAAAGGCACCTCTCACGACCCGTGCCTCATCCGCAACCTCACTGGCACATCTCACACCGTACACTCTCAAGACGACTCCCAAGATCGACCATCCTAACACAGGACAAGTCTCGCTGGTGCATACCTGAGGCTGCTGGGGCATTCCCCTTCCCTGAGGTCCTCCGCGTCCCCCCTGGGGCTGGGGCTGTCCGCGCTGCTGGCGGGGACCAGCTCCGCGGCGAGGCTGCGGCTGCCCGGGCATCTGTTGCTGCTGATGAACAGGAAACGCCGAGAAAACACGCAAAAATGGCCGTCAACAGAGTGAGGGGAAAATTGCAATTGTAGTGTACGCAGATATTTCCAAGACAAGAGCGGAACATTTTCGGGAATCACAGTTTCAATGCCACTCGCCCAGGGACAAAGGAAAAGACATAAGCACTCCGGATAAGTATGTGCATGAGGCCATCCATCCCTCCACGGAAAACCGACGTCACTCGAAACACGGCTACCAAAAAAGAGCACCACAACATTTGATTACAGCGAACATTGAGAGGGCAACGGATAATAAAAGAGCAAAGGACGAGGCGGAACTGCTGAATCAAGTGGGCCGGCGGCCTTGACAACCAAGTCACCTGTCCGGGGGTGGCGTAGGCAGGCATGGGGTAGTTGCCGCGGCCTCCGTAGGCGGGCATGGGTCCGCGGGGGCCCCTGGGCATCATCTGCGGCATCATGAACTGCCGAGGCTGCTGGGGCATGCCGGGCTGGGCTCCCATCCAGTAAGGCATGCCGTACATTCCCTGGGCGCCGGGGGCCATGGGCATGCCGCGGGGGGGCATCCCACCGGTGCGCTGCGCGAACTGCGCCTCGAGCTGGGTGCGGCGCACCTCGCGCCTCTGCGCCAGGGCCACGTAGATGGGCTTGTTGAGCAGCATCTTCCCGTTCATCTCGGTGATGGCCTTGGTGGCCTCCTCCGGGGCCGAGAA